ATTTTTGGTTGCTTCCAAACTTGGGAAGGGAATTTTATTTACTGGCCTACATATCCCCAACAGATGCTGTTGCTATTTGTCAGACATTCTCTTTTCTAAGCTTCCATATTTAACCAACTTTCTTTTAAATAAACAAAGTTATTAGTTACTGACCCTGCCAGGCACTGTGCTAAAAACTTTAAGTAGATCATCTCATAATCCTAATTATAGGGAGAGAAAATTGAGACTCTATTTGATGAAATAAATTGCCTAAGATAACAAAACTAGCAAGTGGTAGAGCCTGATGGCTTTCTTTAAGTATATTAATATCTAGCTGTTTCACTAGGTAGGTTAATATCATCAAACAGGTTATAGTTAATTCTTTGTCATTGGACTGTATAACATAATTTCATAATTTTCTGCTCTGGTTCATTATAATTTGCTTTCTATTTTAATATAAAGGGGAGAAGTTTATTTTTTTTTTTATTTTTAAGTTCTTGGGTAGGGCATTGGTAGGGAGAGAGGAAGACTTCATGGTTGTCCCCATGTACTTCCTACAGGGACAAGGCATGACATTATGTCTGTCAATTTTCCAGCTGAGGAAACCGGACTGTATATATGGCTTATATCTACAGTTACAGCAGATATAAGCCATAAAGCAGGCAGCCAACACCAGCCCTCCTTCAACTGCACCACTGTTGAGAAGTGGCAAATAGGTTGCACTTGTGTGCCAAATGATTAACTGGTGTGTTAGTCTTCAGTGGCTGAAGTTTATCACAAACTTAGTGGCTTAACACAGCACATATTTATGATTTTTATGCTCACATGCTCCACAAATATTTGGTGAAGACCCATTTTGTGCCAGTACTGTCCCTGGCACTAAGGACATACCAGGGATAAAAGATATAGACATGGCCCCTTGTTCATGGAAATGACTGGCTAGTGGTGGAGGCAGATACCAGTCAAGGAATAACACCGTTAAATGTAAAAGGGCACCTGAGATCATCCCTACAGTGAAAAGGTAGATGGTATTCTGAGAGTTATGAGGCTGTCTTGGGGAATGGACAGTTGATCTGAAATCTGAGGGCTGAGTAGAAATTAACCAGGTGGAGAAAAAAAGAGAAGGGCATTCCAGGAAGAAGGCATAACCTGGCAGAACAGCAGTTTTGGGGGAGAGCAAGGTATTTGCGATGCTCTGAAAGGAAGACAGTGGCCAGAGAGAAGCAAGTCAGAGGTATGGGGCTGGAGGAGATGGGGGAGGTGGGCCAGAGCCAGAGCACGCAGACAAGCTCGGGGCTTTGTTCTGTGTACCAGTAACTAACTGTGTGTCCACCCATTTGCTCTTAGCCCCCAGTAAGTACCTCTGTTTACACTAGAGTGACCTTCACTTTATAAGACTCCTAGTTCCCTCCATTGGCCCTCTATGTTTAGGGTTATATAAGACATTTTAGCTATGGTGTCAAGTTATAGGCTGACTTAAATAAGTATTAAAAACAAAAGTGGTACACTCTTGAGAATAAAGAGAATGGCCACTCTGTCTTGAACAAAGAGGAGTTGAGATATATGCTCAGCTTTATGTTTCTCTATGATCAAACTGACCGAGGTAAATGCAGTGCCCCTCCTATCAGTCAGCAAACTACCAATCTGAAGTGTCTAAAAATGTGTGCATTAAACTCTAACAGACAAATCTGAAACTTGGGAATTCTTTGGCAAATTGGGGTGGCTCTATTATAAGGTGGGGGGAGGTCTAGAGATGACAGGGTGGTGACATTTATATCCCCCATGTGGCTTGTTTAAATAGGTGCAATAATTGATAATAAATATTAAGCTGAATTTTAAGACACTGAGAACTATTGTATAATCAACAAATACATACATTTAGGGCCATTTTTCTGGGAATCTTGTCAAGGAGGTAGGTCGATGTTGTGCAGAAAGCCTTGGCTAAGATTTAGGGAGACAATATTCTGGTTCATGCTCTTGCTCTGTCCGTCATGGAGCTCTTGGGCCCTGGATAACTCTTTCAAACAACTATAAGCCCCACCTTCATTATAAAATATTGTGAAGTCACATCCTTAAGTATTGTCAGAAGAAAGGCAATAGTTTAGTATAATTAGCACTACCTGAAAATGCCTGAGGAAGATATGATTTTGGAGCCTGACATAGCACACACCATCTCTTACCAAGTCTAAAGTTGCCAAGTTCTCCTCCAGTGTTGGACAGAATTGCTGTTGATTCAGTTGAACACCAGATGAAATCGTTGGCTAGCATTCAGGAGCCATGTTGTTACAGAAAAATGCACTGTCTCATTAAAGACTGAAACCACATTCAGTGAGGTGAGATGCTTCCTGAGAAGCACATGGTCCTGACTGAGTTAACAGTGCCAGAAGTATATCTCCCATTTCCCCAACTGCTGTTTCTGTACCTGCTGACAGAAGAAAATGATATCTCCTCATCCCTGACTATCTCAAAAGTACCTATGAGGATAACTGTGGATATGTGTTATCGAACACTCCATAAAGTTCAAGTCAGTGAAATAAAATCTCCAAAATCAATTTGTCAGGTCAACACCAAGTTTTATGCAGCCAACATTTACAGTGATGTAGCATCAGTACCTACAACAGTATCCCAGAGCTACAGGTGTTCTCTTAAGAACCCAAGATAATTCTCTACCCCAAAAAGGGTCCCATCTACTACAAAGGAAAGAGCAGTGTAAAAACATGGAGCTCATTTTTCAACAAGGTGACCTATTCTGTGTTGAACTTAGCCATTTTTTATTCGATGGCTTGATATCTGCTTCTTCAGAACTTCCACTCACTGATTTTAGTAATGTCTTTTGCAGCTACACAAAATAAGTATTCGTGCATGTGACAGCCCTTGATATTCAAGGACAGGGTACCAGGACATGGGTACCAAAGCCCTTACCATCCCAGACACCTGCCTCCACATATATAAATTTTATTAATATCCTCATCACAGGGTGGGCAGGAGAGCAGGGCCTGCCTGGGCATGAATTTTCTCTAATGGAAAAAAATCATTTCTTAGAATAAAAGCTGCAAATCCAGAGTAAACATATCATAGGGCTAAAGGTTGACGATTCCTTTCTTAAATGAGTATTTCAGATGTTTCCATTTTTACTGATACAGTACATGGATCCCCAAAAGAGAAAAATATTTCACCACCTCCATTCCACAAAAAGGAATCCAATTTCCAAAGCTCCCTGTCATTTAAAGATTTGAAATGGCTCCAGGGCTTGTCTATGGGATACTGCATGCATGCCATCTCTGGAATTCATTTTTCAAGGATCCAAACTGAACAGAATCAAGATACTGGGGTTTATGCTCTAATGCCTAGAGAGAATCAGGAATGTCATAGTTATTTCTGAGGAACATTTGATCTGGTGAACCCATTAACTTTAACATAAGTATAAGAACAGACTGAGGTCATCTCCTTAAGAGTTCTAACAACTCCTGAACAAATGGAGTCCCCTAAATTTTCCTAATTCCACAGTTCTTAAAAAAACAAAGACTGAGTTATTCTACCAGTGATACTGGTATGTATCTTGATCACTCTCTGGGCCTTGCAATAGCTAGGATGTAAAGCATATATACTGTGGGATATATACTGTGAAATCTGTTCATGGTTTTTGCTAAGAGTTGACAAGTTTAAAAATACAGTGTAGGAAAATTACTCATAGTTGTGGGGGAAGATGGGAAAAAAGTGACAAATGGGCTTGTAATGAGGACTTCTTAGTGTCAACATATGTAAAAAGAACTTTTAAATATAGACATTATGATAAAAAAAAGCGCTAAGTTTTCAAGAAAGCTTTAGGTATGAGATTGTAGTGATTATATGTACAATTAACAGCTTATTCATGAAGGACCATTCTGTTCACTGTTAATGGACCAGCATACTTGGCTCCCCAGAAACATTTCAACTAGACAAAACATAGTAACACATTAGTCAGAAATATAGCTTTATTATTATAATATTTCATAATCTAAAAACTTTCTTTTTAATTCTTAGAAGAGAATATTCCAACTTCCAGACAACTGACTGACCCTGAAAAATACTGGAAAACAGTGTCTAAGCAATCTGAACTTTGCCGTTAAGAATCTCTAGTTTGGGAAAAAAGAATGAAAGAACAGTTCAAATAAAGATTTCTTCCATCTGAAACAAATAAAATTAGATCCGTTCTTAAGTTTAACCTTGAACATGTTTTCCCAGAAACTTTGGTGATTTATTCCAAAAAGCAACTCTATAGTCGACTGCCCATGTGGACAAAGAAAATATTTAAAAATAAGACCCAAGTGGGACATGGCACACAGCTTGGGCCGTAGCATGTAAGTGGGAGGTCCCTCAGAGTGAGCCAGCTTCCGTGTTTCAATAGCAAATTTACATCTCTAAAGAAGCACACCATACATAATGCATTTCCTTGTGTGAGGGTCAGAATTTAGTTGGAACTTAAAAAAAAAATGTTTTAATATACCTTAAAAGCATTTGTCTTGTGTAATGTACATAGAGTAGATATGACATTATGGTGCTTTCTAAAGGTCACTGGGTACCACTGTCAAAGAGAACTGTCATGCGCTCTAGGTATATTAAATGAAAATTGAAAATGTAAGTTACATTAAATAAATTGGAAAAAAAATCTGGCTACGCCACTTTTAAAAATAAGTTGTCATTGCACACACGTTACGGGACAATTTGCATGCAATACAATCAACAAGTCAATTTTTTAGTATGTAAAAGGCTAAAGTGCAATCATGGTACAAATATCAATAATAAATAACCTTGGAGAAAGTTAATTCTCCAAATAATAATCATAACATTACGATTTTTACAATGTTAGCCTAAACAGTGATATTCACAGAAATGTTTTTTCCCACTTGACAGTTGTCTATACACCACATGAATGGCCCACCCCATGAGCCAAAAGTCAAAGTGAAGATTCAAAAATCAACATTTTCACTATAATAGGTTCAAAATGCTTATATAATAATAAGTTACACTTTTCAATTTACTGGCATTTTTAAGTAATTGCTTTATTACCTATTTTTAATAAACTGCTAATCTGACATTTATTGCAATAACAATCATAATTCTACTAATTAGGTTACAGTTTTAATTTTTAAAATTATAGAATTCAATTTATATCAACTAACACAGATAGCTTAAAAACCACCCACCACACACACCTTTTCCATGAGTATTTAAAAATAAATTATTAATATACTTGACATATATATTGTATATGTTATAGATATATGTATATATGTATATATTTGTGGATGTAATTACTCTTATTTCCAGAAGGATGCCAGCACTTGTAAACTCTGCAGGAGACTCGATGCTAATGATAACTTTTTAAAAAAGTAACATGGATTTTCTTGAAGAAAATCATAAAGCAGGAGCTTCTTAACAGATGGTTCTTTGTGGAAACAAAGGCCATTTTAAGGATGAAGAGGAAGACAGTCTCAGATTCTGGATCCCACGTGCACAGTTTAAGTCAGAAACTACTTTAGAAAGCAGTGTACTATGTACACTTCGGATACCTGGCTGAAAGGTAAGAATGTATATTTTAGTCATAAAAGGGCACAGGAGCAGCAGGAGGTGAAAACGTTAGTCCAGCAAGGAGAAATTCATGCCTACAGCCAACAAAGAGGCTGCTGACACTGCCAGGTAAGGTCTTGGGAAAGGGTTGCGGTGTCTCCAGGCTGGCTCACGATGCACTGATGCACTACATGTTATCCGCTGGCATCCAACCATTCAGACCCTGAACTCCTGATGGGTGCTGATCAAAAGGGTTTTTTGGCCCTCTGCAACCAGAACCATAGACACAGCTATTAAGGTAGAGACTGGCGGCACGACCTTAAGGGTGCAGAAAATCCAACCAGAGACGTGAGCAGAAGTGCACTAAAACCCAAGTAAACATGCGCCCAGGGCAACAAAAAACCTGAATCAAACAAACTGGAAAACAGTCCATCAAAATGAGAACTGAAGTCTAACTAAACGAGTCCCCGAAGTAACCCAAACATTGAAATCTTGACTAACCAGAATACTTGGGGAAACAGGAATCCTTATTTTGGAAGATTTCAAATTAGTTGAGCGGAAGGTTAAAAACAAACAGAAATAATTTTATTTCCCTGCAATGAAGAGAACTTTATATTCCCGTTCCTTGTGCCACAGTTTAGAGAGCAGTGAGCACGGATGAATTTTTTTTCAGTGCCTGGCATCTTGTGTGGCCTTGGGTCTGAGAATCAATCACCACTGCTTAGAACACAAGATATGGAAGCTACTGGAGACTGGGCTAACTATTTTAGAAATTGGAGCTTTGTTTTACTAAAATTTTGGGACAAGACTCCTTTCATTTTTTTAAATTCTTTCTGTAATTTGCTTCTTGGTTCTATAAGGGGCCTGTAGTAAAATTCTGGTTCACCGAGATTCCAGTTTGTTAAATTACAGTTAGTCCACGTGCTTATATGGACAGGAAATAAATGTGTTATACCCCTCGCTTTCCCACTGTGTCTTACTACGGGATATGTCCAAAAGGACATTACTGTCGGCCCCCAGAACAACATTCCCCAAAGCCCGGCAATGGTAGTCCAGAGCCTCCCACCCTTTTAGATGATGTTCACGAGCGCTGTTGGCTTTTTTTTTGGCCATTTTGGGCCTGATGTTGCCTTTCCGACTAAACCCCAGAGGCTCCCCCTTCTTCGGTAGTCTGCAGAGTTCTCTTGGGGACTCGGCCTGCTCATGACTGGATTTAGCAGGCTGCATGCTGGCTCTGTCATCCTTGGCTTTTTTCAGGTAGCTCCTTCCCTTTTGATGAAAATGGGTCTTGAGATCGGGGTGGTTACACACTGAATGCAGGTGCCCTCGGCTTCTACAGATGGTCAGGCAGGAGGAGGGAGATGAACAGAAAGATTTCTTTAAAACCTTTAAAGATTAAAAACTACCCACGGCACAATTGCTCCTGCATGCTAGAGCAGTGATAATGCTGCCAATAAAACAAATAATATACAATGGTATTTTTCTTCCAAAAATTCCTGCGGCCTTTGTGAAGTGATCTTATGATACTATACTCTCAGAGAGATATTACTAGTCCTATTTACCAGTAATAAAAACTGAGGCATAAAAGATTTAAGTGGCTACCGAAGTTAATATATACACTTGGTCTACGGAGAAGATGGGAGCAGAACCCATATCTCAGTCTTTAAGCGGCTACTAGGGGACTTAGAGAAATCTGTAGTGTAGCTATTACAAAGTATATGATTCATAGTATAAATTTATGTATGTATAATGTAGTATACATATGATATTAATAGAACCATAGAGCTATTATGACTATACTATGCCTCAATAAGAGAAAGTTATACTGCATAATACCATAAAAATACTTCTGTAGTACTATCATACCGACATATACTAATAGACAACTAGTACAGCTAAAAGTTAGATCCACATTTTAGAAAGGTAGGTACATAAGCAAGCAAATTTTCACCTGAGACTCTCAAGTCCATTTATATTATAGAGGCCATATAAAATGTATCAGGAAAACATATCATGCAAACTATCAAATGGCCCAAGTATAAAAAGATATACATACAGGCATTTGGATTTCCTGTTTGAGGAGATATCTGTAAGCTAAAGGAAAAACAAGAAAAAACATTACTTCACCTGAAGTTGGATTTAGTTTTTAGAATTTTGCTTATAGGTTAAGAAACTGCATTTTCATTAAGGAAGCCAGTAACCTCTGTCAGCAGCACTGCCCACGGCACCTCCATCGCAGCAGTCAACAAGCACATTTCACACCCGGCCTCTGTTTATTCAGGGAGCCTCCACAGCTCCCTTTCTGAGATTTCCAAGAAGCCAATATCAGCAGATCTCAAAAATTTTAAAAAGGCAATGAGCCCCTACTAGAGCAACATTTGAAGAAACATGTTTTTAAAAACTGGAATGATGCGCCATTATTTCTTGATTGATTCAGGCTGTATTTGCAGCTAATTTACTATAGCTGTGGCTGGTCATAGTGTATCAACTAAGGGGAAAATTGGCCTAAAATGTTTATTGCCTAAAATACATCATTTCTAAAATGAGAGCATACAAACAGTAACCAATTCCGCCGCTGTTCCTGAAGCCATCTATCACTGAGATTATTTTCCACTCCCAATAAAATATCTTAATGTACTTTTGTGGTCAAGCTAGGAATATCATTTTCAAAATAAATTGATAATTATTATTTTGTGATCCAGGTGTCACCAACCACTATATAGGCAAACCCAGAGTATTCCCAGCTGTCTGTTCCTGACCTTCCTTGTGTAGCCTCCACTAAAGGAAGTGGCAGACAGACCAATAGAAGATGAGGATGACACAGAAGATGTGGAGAAAGGGCCATCTTGGTGTTGGGGCACAATGTGGCCCAGACACAGGTTCCTGCTATACTCAAATAACCCGAAAAACCAAGTTCAGCATAAGAGGATCACTGGCGCGGTCCATCTATCTGCAGCTTGAGCTTTGGTCAGGAGCAAATCGGAAAGGTTTCTTAAACAAACTTTTGAGGGTCATGTCCCCAAGAAGGCAAGATTTGCCTTCTGCCTTTTGACAAAAGTCGGCATTATTGCTGACTCTGTTCACACTGGCTGGCTTCTTAGTGAGATTAGTAAATATGGACAGAAAAAGGCACCTTCCTTGCATTAGGGTTGTGAGGTTATATAATATACAAGGAGGATGAGACAGATGGCTCAGATAAACGCCAGGCAGGCAGCTTCTGGGAACCTCCAAAGCATAAGCGTTTCAACCTTCTTGCCCTTCTGCCCCCTTCCACCACCAATAAGGGTTTCTCAGTTGAACTCCTTGAATGGACTTTAGTGTGTGTACACTGTAAAAAATAATTATGGGTCTTTCTTCCTTTAAATTCCTACCTCCTTTTTCTGTATTATTACTGAGGCAGAAAAAAATTTTTTCACTTTGTGTATGTAAGCATATAGTTTGATGACTTACTGCATATGTATACATAATGCCCTTTGGAATTTTATGCCAAATTCAGAGAGGGAGGGAGGGAGACAAGAGGAAAGGGGAGAAAGAGAGACCCCTCTCTAGAGAAAAGGGCTATCAAATGTTCAAAGGAGTCCCTGACTTCCAAAATGTTTTAATAACTACAACCTTAGCTCCTATGCCTATCACTGATAGACCCTGCTGAGACCTCAGGAAAAGAGAAAAATTTACCTTTTTACAAAAAGGGAAATACATAAATAAAGATGGGTAAAGATGATCCATCAACCTCACATATACACATATATACATGTACCATAAATTGTGCATGTCTAGATGTCACACACTGGGTAAAATACTAACCATTTAACAACCACAATTGACTCTCAAAACAACCCTGTGAGGTCAGCACTATCATCCCCATTTTACAGATATGAAAACTTCTCAGGGAGAAAAGTAGCCGGTTCAAAGCCTCAATGCTTTACCAGCGTTAGGGCTGGGCTTCAAATCCAAGTTAGCACATTCCAAGACAGAGAAAGCCTTCACTCTGCACAGCCTCCCAAAAAAGTATGAGTTGTGTATATAAGTTTAAGAGCAAGGAAGTGTACACACAAAAAGTTAAGTGGAATCCATGTCTGGATCAGAATTTCTCCAGGGATCCTACAGATTATGAGTTTTGGGGTGGGACTGGTTATGCACACCACAGAATTCCATATGCTCTCCTCCTCGTGAACACAAGAGGCCACTGTTCCTTCTGGCTCCTGCAGCCTCAGGCAGATGGACAGGCTCTTCCTGCGTAGCCTTTCTACCTACCTCCATTTCTCCTAGTCTAGTCTGTCTTTGTTTTGTTTAGGAAGAGAGGAGTATGAAGATGGAGATCAAGAGTGTCTGTGATTGAGGCTCCAGGAAGGAAAAATATAAATAACCTTGCACTGAGAGCCAGTCTAAGTACTTCTAAAACACAATAATGGTGTCTCGGGTTATTATAGGCTTGAGGAAACTGGACACCCGGCCCTCATCCAACTTCCCCTTTGTGTAAATAGCAAAATGCATACTCAATTGTTCAGACCTAAACCTTAGGTTCATTCGTGATTCCTCTTTCCTCACCCCTTAAATTTAATCCTTCAGCAAAGCTAACTGGTTTTGTCAATTCTACTCCCAGAACATATCCTATACTCGTCACTTTTCTTTACCTTCCCTCTATCCAAAATGCCGTCCCCTGTCACTTGCCACATCATAATAGCCTTCTAACCCACCTCTCATTCTTGTACCCCTCTAGTCAATTCCCCAGATCAGCCAGAGTGACTGTTTTAAAACACAGATCATCTCTTGCTTAAAATCTTCCAGTCGATGGCTTCCCTCTGTGCTCTGGAATAGATCCAAACTCCTTACGTGACCTACGAGCCCCAGCATGATCTGGATCCTTCCCAATTCTTTGACTTCATCTTCTACCACACAAATGTGCCAAGCTTGTTCCCTCCTAAGGCACTCGCAATTCCTATTCTTTTGCTTAGATTATTCCACTTCCAAATTTTCAGAGCTGCCTCCTTGTTATTCAGGTCATAGTGCAAATGTCACCTTCTCAGCAAGGTTTTTCCTAACTTCCACTAAAGTTAAAGTGAACATATCATTTTACTTTTTTCTTTATAGTAGTTATCACTATACAAAATTACATTTGTTATTTGTTTATTGTGTGCCCCTCTTCACTGAGAGCAGGGACCATATCTATCTAATTCACAGCAGTTCCCTCAACGCACAGTAAGTGTTGCATCCTCAATAAATAAATGTTAAATGAGTTACTGCTAGTCCTAATTTAGCAACCTGCAGGATATAAATGCAACGCTTAAAATAAGATTATCCAAGCTGTTTCATGACCTTCCCTGTGAGCAGTTCTGTCAGTGATTTTGGCAGATGGGATATTAGGTCACTTTGTGTCTAATTCGACAGCATTTTTCAGAGCATGAAGACAAAATATCTGAGTAAGCACACTACATTTTTAGAAACTGGCCAGGTGAAAAAGAACATAAATGCTCAAGGGGATTAAAGGAAAGATACAGATGCTGAAACATTATTTCAAAAAAAAGGTTCTAAATGTGAAGGGGAAGAAATTTTTTCTAGAGCACAAAAGAATTTTAAAGCTAGAAGACACCATAGAATCAACTTATACATCAATTTCGAAATTTCACTGCTATCTGGAGGTGGTAATGAGAAAAAGAGGAAAGAGGAGAGGGAGGAACTGGGTGTGGGTGGAAGAACAGAGATGAAGGACTATTTTTTTTTGGTGTAGCCTTAGTGGAGATGGTGAGAGTCAGGCCAGGCTGGTGACGGCATTTCCGACGGTTCTGAGGAAGGAGCTGAGGTGTAAGGGGAGTAAGTTAAAATGTTCTGCTCCATCTTGGGTACACTGGGGCCAGGAGCTCTCCTCAGTGGGGCTGAGGCTCGAGAAGCCTGGGTCAAAGAGGTTAATAAAGACGTTTCAAACTTTTCCTGCCAAAAGCATCCAACTTCGTCTGTGTATCTAGAGCCACAGACACCCTGAGAGGCCAGACTTAGTACTTCCATTAAAACAAAGACACGGCTCCTAATTTCATAGGTGAATGTACATTATTATGATGAAATAGACTAAGTAAAAAGGGGACATGGTCTCAGGGTCTGTGGACTGTCTCATAATGTGGTACATTATGGTCCAAAGCAGAGTTTAAAGCATTATACATGAAAACAGGGGAAACTACATCTGCTAAATCCTTTCAGGAATCAAACACCTCATTCTTGGTCTTCTCAGGGTGAAGAACGCACCCTCCACTAGAGTTCACCTCTCTACAGTGTAATCATGCCCTATTCGCAGAGAGCTCTCACCTCCAAATTCCCTGCTATAATCTTAACCGCATTTTATTTGAATTAGACAATTCTCTCCTAGGTAAATCAAGTCTGACAAAGGCAGGTGATGTAATGTTTGGAACACAGAGGACAGAAACATAAATATTTATTAATTTCCTACCATATTTGTATGTTTACATGTGTATATGTGTACACATGTGTATTTATGTGTATATATGTGTGCCTGTATATATGTTGTGTGCACATGCACACATATAATTTTAGAAGAGCAGAGATGCTGTTCAACTTTTGATCACATGGTACAACATGACGAGAAATAGTAACTGGCTATGTCTTTTAAAAGGTGTTCAATTTTTCAGCCTGGAAAAATAAACTGAGCAGAGGAAGTGAGCACAGAAATATAAATAAGAAAGAATTAATGGGATTCTTTTCCTCCTCCTTGCCTTCCATTGTTTTCTCTCTAAGATCCTCCTGGCTTAGTAGAGCAGAATTTTACATATGTCTTATCTCCAGGTTACTTATAATTCAAAAGACTGAAATACTAATGCCACATTTTCATTTTAGAATTCCTAACCACTAAAGTCAGGTGATGATCAGAGAATTTAAGAGGCTAAAAGCATCTAGTCCAACTACTTCATTGTATAGAAGAATTACAGGCCCAATAAGACAAACTGTGGGCATGATCAGGAAGCCAGGCCTTTCACCTCACATCTCAGTTCTGTGACCTCACGCCACAAGCCTCTCTTGAGAGAAGGCAAGCTAAAAAGAAAAGAAAGGACTGCGTGTCCCTCCAGCTGCAGTTACGTTACGACTGGACACGCTCACGGTTTCCCAAGGAGGTAACAGAGGGATGGAGGAAAGGGGTAAAGGTTCCCTCTCAGGAGAGCTCTATGTGGAAGACCACAGACACCCACCTGGAAAACAATAAATATGTCATGTAGCTGAAACTACTTGAACACAGAAACCTCACAGATGTAACAAATGTACTTCCTTCCAGTCTACTTTGTTTCTGACTGAAAAGTTCTGGAGCCTGCATTACTGTACTGCTCTAAGGCTGAGTGCACATTATTAACAGTAAACACTGGGTAAGGTTTCTTCTCGCCTTTCCTTCCTCCCTCTCTCTTTTCCTCCCTGTTGTCTGGCTCTCTCCCTCTCCAGTCTTTCTTCTTTTGCCCACCTGTCTTCTACTTCATTCCTTTTATTATTTATGTTTCTTTTTAGTTTTGGCTTTCAGAATGCTCAACCTAAACTTTTTTTGTCAACCAACAGCAACCTAAACTTTTGGTTAGCATAAATGTTTCATATATATATATCTCTCTATTTGGGGGTAAATTAAAGAATCATTTTAAAATCTTCTGGGGAGGACGTAAGCATAAATAAAGTTCAATAAATAATGAAAACGTTATTGAAAATGAAAACACTTTGGGGTTTCAAAAATGCTTTCTTTGGCTTTGTTGTTTAGACCACCATGAAAATTATGGAGGGCAAAAATTACCACCCACATCCCTCACCTACAGCATGGTTATCTGTACCTCCCCCTGCCCTCCAAAGAGGTCAGGGAATCTTGATCCAGCCAGTGTGAGAGTCTGGACCTTCATCCACATCCAGGATTCTCATATGGACTCTGGCAGTTTCTTAAGCCCCGGCAACTATATGCAAGCTTATATGCAAAAATTTATTCCATAATAGAATTATCATCTGTGAATTTTTCTGTCTTTTTGAAAATATACTTAAAGAATGCATAACCTACAGAGACTACTGAATAGTGTTTTCCTTCCTACAAAGGGAAAAAAGAAGTACGTGGTTAAATCTTGCTGTACTGAGAAAGGTTAAAGCTTTCGTAAGATTCCCTAGAAAAGTTCCGAAACACGATAGTATCTTCCAATCTACCTGAACATCAGTGATGGTTGGGACAGATGATTTCTCTGGCTACTTCAAAGTTTTATTCTACAAACATAAAAATATTTCTACCAATTCAGCTTGGCTCTACTTTGGAGGGTGAAAAAGAACTGGAGATTGTGCATCTGGGATTTTGCTTATTTCAAGGTGCCTTGGGTTCACCTGTATCATTTCCATAACACAGCCACGGCCAGGGCAGTGCTTTCGAATGATGTCGAGAGAGTCCCTACAAGTCACTCCCCATACCAAAGGACCTTATACTTAGTGGCTGGACCTGCGTGACTTACCACATGCTCACTGACATCTTGGCAGAGGCCAGCAGCCTGCTGGCTTTGATAGTACTCTAATTGCTTTTCCGCCAATTCTACCCGTTGCAAGAGATTCTCAATAAAGTCCTGGAGCCGAGCTTTCCCTTGAACCTCCTTCTCAGCTGCCGCTTCGAGGAAATGGTTGAATGTAACAACTTCTCTGCAAGGAAAAATGTCAGAAAACAAAATGGAGAGATGAGACAGGAATTCATTCATTCAACACATATTTATTGAGTGCCTACTATGTGTCGGGTACTACCCTAGGCAGTATGGCCACAGCAATGACAAAAGAGATAAAATTCTTTTTTAGTGATTATATGTAGAGATTACATTTTAGTAGAAGGAGACAGTCACCATAAAATATTCAAGCAAATATATATATCAGGTGGTGGTGAGTGCTAAGGAGAAAACTAAAAGGGGGTGCAAGGGGACAGAGTGACAGAGGAAGGGAAGGAGTGACTGATATTTTAGAAAGCAAAGTTAGGGATGACCTTTTGCAAAGGGTAACATTCGAACAGACACCTGAAGGAAGCAAGGAATAAGCCGTGCAGATACCTGGCAAGAACTTAGTAGGAATGTGCAAATGGGTCTGAGGTACAGCGAGGAGGCCTGTGTGGCCAGAGCAGAGTGGGGGATGGGGAGGACAGCAGGAGCCAGGGAGGGCCTCACAGGTCACTGGAGGATCCCGGATTTTATTAAAAATGAGATGGGAAACCACTGGATGTTTTTGAGAAAAGTTATGACTTACATTTTAAAAGTCTAACTATTGGGAAAGAAAAGGCTACAGGGAGGGAAGGTATGGAAGAAGCCATGCTGAGCATCAAAGTTCATACAATGAGTCACCTTGCCCAATTGTAGACTTCTGAGCTCAGAATGAAACAGCTCAAGAAATGCCATCTTGAAGTAAATCCGAGGTCCACTGGGAAAACTATTTTAGCTGACATAAGAGAAGCAATGTGCAGGTTGCCCTTCCCTAAAAAGTTGAGCAAAATACCTCAAACAATACTCCTTTATCCACATAAGGCCTTGTGGATTCACAAATCCAGAAAATTTTTAATGACTTTATTACTATTTTATATTTTCTTGTTATTGTTATTGTTAATGCAAGAATGATCTGATTTATAAATAATAAAAGTTTTCTATAAAAATTCAAACACATTAAAAATATAAAAAAGAAAGTATCAGTGAAACCCCATTATCCTGAGACAATCACCATTAACATTTTGGTAGCTATCCTTACAATCATTTTTACAAATATACACACAGACACACACACACACACATACACGCACACACAGGTGCTTGGCCTTTTTCTCAGGACAAGTTCCAGGTAATCAGCACTACCAGCAGCTGTACAGTATCACAATTCTCATCTGATTTGCCTCACTGAATAAGAAATCATGAAGATCCTTTCAGCCATACCCTCTGTATGCTCTGTCACCCCCACTGGGGCTAATGAATTCCATAATATTATCACCTGCTGAATACAGTATTTTCTGGCCATTCCCAGCTTAAGCAAAAGCAAGATTCTAAACACTTTTGATCACTGCCGCTCCCCAGCCTCTTTCATTTTAGATAAATGAATCCCATTTTTTAATCTAACCTCATGTAATTGTTCTAGATAATTAAATTCATTGCCTTCTCTGCATCTTCTCAACCTCCACTTGATCTTTATTTTCCACCGAGCTCCATAATTTCTTAAGAGTAGAACTTCAGGGAAGTCTGGCTCAGGAGTCACAGTTTCACAGAAAGGTTTTGCAAATTAGCTGGTCAGGGCCTCCAGCCCCTTTCTGTATGACAGTCAGTGAGCTGCTTTCACAATTAGTCATGATTTTTCTCTCACAAATATGTCACACTTGGCCATACTGAAACTTTTCTGAGACTTCCTACTGAGTCAAATGTCTCTGCAAAACCCTGGGAATTATATATTTGTAAAAAATAGAAAAGAGACTGGTTCTCACAGTGATTTACTCAAAGAATTGCTCATTATACCAGGCCCTACTATTCCAGTTTCCTATCCAGCATCAAACATAAACCCAATCCCGTAAAATTCCATTATCTTTCAGCAGTCAAGAAATATCCACATGAGAGAAATAAGAGTCCTTGTGTAAAGGAGTTTTTCTTTCATCATCAAGTTTCAAGTTTATTTCCAGATGTTTCCAAACAAGCCCTGCAGAGAAGACGTGCACTTTCTATGCTGTTCAGGCCATGGCCACAAGCCAATTTTCAAGCTCTACCCTCATTTGGCTTTGATCTGCCTCCTAGGTGAGTCACAAACCTTAACTAGCCTCAAAATAGTGGAGGGTCTGTCTGAGTGCCACACTCTGCTGCTTCATGGTTCCTAGTTATGGCTGAGATTCTTTAGACAGAGTCTCTTCGCCGCTTAAAAGCACCGCTGAAAACAGCCCAGAAAATGGCTCCTCCCTCCCCTTTCCAACATTAAGGCTTCAATTCATTCGGAGTCAAGCCCACTGTAGACACTTACTGGGTGATATTTAGGATACTCAAATCATGAAACACTCTCTGAATTGTACTTAACAGGGCAAACAACTAAAAACCCACAACCCTCTCCTCAACTAAAAAAAAAAGGAAAAAAAGCCAGTGTATTTCTTTCAATTCACTTAGGTTTATAATAGTTACTATATTTATCTCATTACAGAAAGATTTCACACTTATCATAAGAAATATGAAAATTGACCTCTCTTGAAGCTCTAACTGAACATGGGCTGAATCCGCTTTGTGTTCTCTGCTCTAAGCCCCTCAATCGATACAATACATGGCACATAATATTAAATATTTGTTGTAATTAACGTTTAAAAAAGACAAGGAAGAGACCAAAAGATGAACCATAATCCCACTACCCAGAGGTAACTACTGTCAACATTCTGGTATATTTTTTCCGGTCTTTTTTTTTTTCTGTGCAGATTTACTATTCTTGGGCTCTCCAGCTGTACAGTTTAGAATATAAAGCAGAAATATTTAACAGCTTAATCCCACAGGATTAGCATCTTAAAAGCAAGAAAACAAACCTGAATGCAATACAGCTTATGACTGTAGCTGTATTTTTAAATCATGTTATGTTTTGCTACTGGTTCCAGATAAAACTTTTATGAATTAACATTAAGATCCTAGCAAATTGTGGAGTGTTATATCATGTTGTAGAAGAAAAGTATCTTTTTCTAACTTCCCCCTCATCTAATTATCTTGTGCCCTGATGCTGAGAAGTTAATGCCCTTTGTATTTTTCAACCAACCTGGCACCAGTCCTAACATAATTTCAGTTTATGGGCATTTCACGTCAACTAAAAAATAAAGAGTTAAAACAAGCTTGATGATATAATTTTAAAAGAGAAGTTACATAAGACAAGGGCTGGAGAAATTCGTCATACAGAGATTGTGGTTGGGTATCTGTATTAGATAAAAACAGTAACAAAACCCAGTGACTAACCGGAATCGCATGTGTGTGCGACTTCAGCTCCCCCTTTCACATCCTGCTCAGTCTGGATTAACAATATCCAGAAACACCTCTGATTTCCCAGAGGATTTTGGGAATTTCCTGAATGAAAAAGAAGTTTAACTACATTGCATTTGTAACTTCTTTAATAATTATACTCCAAACAGTAAAGTATCCATTCAAAGTGCAAGAGAGACCAACGGATTTCAACGTGAGGGAGACTGAAACACTCACTGATATGATTTCAGATTCCACGTTGTAATTAACCTTTAAGAGACTACCAATTGTCAAATTTTGGCAAAGTATCAAAGCAGAATATCCACTATTCTCTGAAAATGCTGTTAAAATACCCTTCCACTGTCCACTACATATCCATGTGAGATTGGATTTTCTTCACCTACTTCAACCATAATAACACATTTGCAATATATTAAACGCAGAAGAGCTAACGAGATCCAGATGCCTTCTATTAGGCCAGACATTAAAAATAATTTATAAAACTTATCAATAATGGCGTTCTTTTCACTAAATTGTTTTTAGGAAAATTATTATTTTTTATAGAAATATGTTATTTATGTTAACAAGTAATAGATTGCTATTTGTAAATGAATTGTTTGTAAAATTTCTAAGTTTTCATTTCTAATACAGTAAATATAGATAGATAAAAATAATACAAGCAGAAGCTTTTTGGGACCTTAGGGTTTTTTTGTTTTGTTTTGTTTTTTTTTTAGGAGTGTAAGGGGAAGTGAGGCCAAAAAGTTTGAGAATTACTGCCATACTATGTACTGGGGTGATCCAGAAACTCTGATGAGGGTGGACAGTGTGGGCTAGAACACGAGTAAGATGTAGCCACAATTCATATATTTGTTTATTTCGTTATTCAGTCACTCCACAAACATTTGATGAATGCTCCCAGGCATTGGTCTCAGTGCTGGGGCACTCATGAACCCATGGCTATATTCATGAAACTTACTGTCTAACCCAGGGATCAGCAAACTGTTTCTGAAAAAGGCCAGGAAGTTAATATTTTAGGCTCTGCAGGCCATATGCAATCTGTCACAACTATTCAACTATGCCTAGTGCAAAGGAGCCATAAATGAAATGTAAACAAATGAGTATGGCTGTAACAGTAAAACTTTATTTTGTATTATTTTACTTTACTTATGGACACTGAAATTAGGATTTCCTATCATTTTCATCTACCATAAATTATAATTTTTCTTTTGTTCAACCATTTAAAAATGTAAAAACCGTTCTCAGCTCACGGCCTCCACAAAGATTGGATGTGACCAGTGGTATGCTAAGCCCTGATACAGGGAAAAAGCAGACATTAAAAGCAACAAATACTAAAATAAATGTGTAATTACAAAGCTGAGTTGAATGTGACTAAGAAAAAGAAAAATATGACACTATCAGATAGAAAAGTAGAAAGAAAAACTTGTGTAGTTTTATTTTAGGTTCTCGACCCTGTGATTCAGAACAGAGTGTGAAAGCTGAAGGCCAGATGAGAAGGGCAAACCTGAGTGAAATTCAATCAGGATGCGGGTATAAACCAGCTTTGGGGAAATTAACCGATTCTAGGCTACTTCCAGCCCCAACTTTGACTTCTTATTTATTTTTTAAAAAGGTTAAATATGACTAAATCCAAGGTTTGAAGTTTTAAACTTCAGTAGGAAATATGATTATTTAAAGCAATATTTGACACGA